GTGGCCCGGGGTGGATATGTACAGCATATCCACCCCGGGTGGATAGGTGCTAAGCCTCTGGGACCCCAAAGAACCAATTTCTGGTGTTTCAAATCCCAACTCAACTTCCAAAAGACATTCAATTTTTAAGTGAAAATTTTGCCCATTGATCGCATTGCTTCGTTGAAAAGCCTCCTATGGCTCATCAGAAGATAGGGAGGGTGGGCTTTATCTCCCAGGCTAAGACAGCTGCCCATGTCTGCTTTTAGGTGATGGTCTTGGGTGATGGACTAAACTAAAGGAATATCAGTTGCACAGCTGGAAGACCCCAATGAAGAGTGACCGGAGTAAAGGAGCTCTTCTGGAAGAAAAAAAGATCATCAGAAATAGGGTTTCCTGCCTGAGCAGAGGGTTGACTAGGAGACCTCCAAAGTCCCTTCCAACTCCTATCCTATCCTATCCTATCCTATCCTACCATGATATTTTTTACTCTCTTGCCTCCCAAAATGTAAGTTTATCAACTGAATGTCTGGATGAAAAGCCACCTCTGAGTAATTGAAGCATGCCATAATAGAACATCTCAGAAAGCGTCACCAAATGGTAAGTTTTTGTGCAACAGAGAGAGAAAGCAATGGAATGCTTAGGAGGTACATTGCAACCGTTATAAATATGAGTCAGTTGCCAAGCATCAGAATTTTTATCACATGACCATGGGGATGCTGCAATGGTTGTGTGAAAAACAGTCATAAGTCACTTTTTTCAGTGCCACTGTAACTTTGGTCACTAAATGACCTGTTCTAAGTTGAGGACTACCTGTATTTCTGTTCAGCCCAATTCCAAATACCACTGTCAATAATCCAGGTACATGTTTCAGTTTCTTTTGTTCTCTTAATTAAGCTTCCCAAATTCTATCTTAACATCCCTCACTGAATACTTTGACTTCGTTCTTCTCCTACAAGTCCCCAATAAGCAATTCCAACTTCATAACAAGTTTCTCCAACCACTTTGCAATGTACCAAACCCATTTCCTCCACCTCAGGAATCTCTAGTGAAGCTGTGGCTGGGAAGCAGGCAATGACCAAGCATTCCCAGGTTTCCACAAGCACCTATCTAATAATAAATTAAAAGGGCCACATCCATGTATCCTACTGCTGACACCATTATGAAAAGCTGCATCTGCTCCCAGGTTCTTGGCTTATAGTTTACTCACTCACATACTCGCAGCCCTGATCAATAGTCTACACCAGTGGTGGCGAACCTATGGCACGCGTGCCAGAGGCGGCACTGAGAGCCCTCTGTGGGCATGCATGCCCCGGAGATGGCAACTGTCCCTCTTTAACCAGCCACCAGCTAACTCGCTGAGGTCCACGTGGCTGGATGCATCCCAGCACCCATGCGCTCGCTGGCCTCTGTGTGCGGGGGCCGATGGTGTCAGGCAGCAGCCGCCCTGGCCCCTGCCTCACCTTGCCCTGTGACATGGCACCCCCACCCTGCCTCGCCTTGCCTCGCCTCACCCCGCAGGACGAGCCTGCCCACCGTCCCACCTGCCAGAGACCCCCTGGATTTCCCCCAACCCTGCCCAGCCCCCACAGGCATCCCTCCCCATGAGCAACATCAAGGTGACCATGCCCACCTTGGCCACACCCACCCAGTCTGCCATGACCACCACAGCCACACACCCCAGTGGGCCACGCCCACCTGGCACCCGGCGATAAATAAGTGGATTTTGGGTTGCAGTTTGGGCACTCAGTCTCTCAAAGGTTCGCCATCACTGGTCTACACTCAAAACACTTTCAATCAATCAATGAGACACAACCAGTTCTTTAGAATAAATGGAGACCCAATGCATTTAAAGAAACAGTAAAATGTTATTAGTAATGTGGTTTTGCTCTTCTGTTTCTCTCTCTCCGTCTCCCCTTCCCCCTTCTCTCACTCACTCACCCACCCACCCACCCACTCACTCACACACACCACAAACACATCCTTACCCACCTCTTTTTCAACTAGGCTGGCAGGCCTTGGCCATGGGACAGAAGACACCAAGTTGAGATCCAAAAAATGATTCAAACAGCAGGTGGCCTTCAGTACTTCTTTTATTTCCCAAAGTCCTTGCGTTGTTGATTCTCAAGACTGGTAGTTGTTGATGGGACTTGAGGAGGGGTTTCCTATGTGCTCAGGCTTAACTTCTTTTGTCTGGTTCAGGTGACATTTTTTTCCTTTTTCCTTAAAGACTTGTTTCCTTCTTAACTACCTCTCCTCCCCCCACCAAGAGATCTTTTAGACAGGATTCCTGACTTTTGTCTACCCTGCTTACCTGCCTGCTTCATTTTTAAGTGCAGCTTCAGCCCAGACTCAGTTTCCTAAAATTTGTCATTAAATGATTATACAAAACCTCACTGGGATTATTCACGTGTGAAATTTCCTATTAGAACAGAATAACAGAGTTTGAAGGGACCTTGGAGGTCTTCTAGTCCAGCCCCTTGCTCAAGCAGGAGACTATACCATTTCAGACAAATGGCTGTCCAGTCTCTTTTTAAAACCCTCCGGTGTTGGAACACCAACTTCTGGAGGCAAGCCATTCCACTGATTGTTCCCATTGTCAGGAAATTTCTAGTTAGTTCTAGGCTGGATTTCTCCTTAATTGTGCTGTATAATTGGAAATGGGCGACTGGTGGTTTCTGGCCTCATCCTGGGAAACAATTATTGTGGCTTTTAAATTGTCTGTTGCTTAATTTTGTTTGGTTTTATTGGTTAGTAAGTTTTGCGAGGTCTAATTAATCTACTTTTTTATTGTATACTAGCTGTACCCAGCCACGCGTTGCTGTGGCTCAGTCTGGTAAAAGCGTGTGTTGCTTTTACGTCCAACAGATGGTGCTGTTTTTCAAAAAAAGCATGTTTTTACCTGTCACAGGTGTAACATCTATATAATACAGGTATATAAAAACACGCGCGTATTCGAATGCAACGTTGTGTGGAAATTTCAAAGCAATCGGTGAAGAACTTTCGGAGATTTAAGATTTTGAACAAACGAACATTTACATTTTTATTTATATAGAAGATTGTATACTTGCTGGGTATTCCATTATTTCCTTGGTGTCAGGTTCAATGTTTCTACTCTGAATAGAATTAAATTATTATCCCCTTAATTGTGCTGTACAGTTAATTCTTAAACAAAAATATTGTTCTTTCTTTATTCAGTTTCTATGGCCGTCCATTTCAGCCAATGACTTTGGGCTTCTTATTGGCCTATTCATACCCATTGCCTTTCTTCCTTGCCTTCTGGTGTTTTGGTTGTACATAGGAAACATCTCCAGAAAGCAACAAAAAAAGGTAATCAAAATAAACACTCCCCGTGCAATTCTTGCAGTATCCAGCCAGCCACAAACGCTTCCAACTTTTCCTCTTCCATTCCCTCTGTGCCAACATCCTATTTTATTTCCCAAAGACATCAGAATGCTGTAGTTAGTAAAAGTTTGATTAATGATATGGTTCTCTCAAATATCCAGAGGCTTTTGAATTACTCCAAGCGTTTTCAGCTCCTAAACATAAAAATATGTGACTTCATAATGGATGTGATCAAAAAGCGGCACCAACAAAGAGAAAGAAAGACAAGGAGAATTAAATATAATTTGATTAAAGTTTTAAAACTGCACTTGTTTAAATTTGAAGCCACCTGGAGCTTGAGGCTCAGGCCAAATAAGCTTCCTGCTTCCTTCTCACACCTGGCCTAGTCCTTGGGTATATTTCTGCCAAGGTATTCTATGCAATATGACCTACTAGGAAAACAAGTGTTATATAACATTATCAAAACTTTATTATGGCGAAAGACCAGCATAAGGGTACATTTAGTTTAAAAAAAACATAGAAAATAATCAAAGTCTTAAGAATGATTATTATAAACAGTTAAAAGATATAAAAGAGAAAAGTATACATAGAAACAGAAGTTTAAATGGAACTGAAAGGAAAGCTAGGAGAATGAGATGGGAGTACAGAGCATAAAGGTTAGTATGGGACAGACTAAATATTTCACTCTACAGAACATGCCATTTGTGGAGCTGGATGCTCATTAGAGGCTAGTTTATACCACAGGTCATCCATCACCTGACGAATGTTAAATACTGCTCCACAGAAACCTGGAAGCATTACATACTGCACCAAGGTTACTATCTGAAAGCAGCAGAGAGGCATAGAAATGTCTCGTGAGCCCTGGATATTTACGCAGTAATGGCAAGATAAGCCTGATGCAAACATCTCTACTAAAGAAGCACATGCTGTTGTTTCACCAAAGGGGGAGGTGGCCGAGCAGTTAAGATGCCGGGCTTGCCAACCAGAAGGTTGGCTGTTTGAGACCTAAGTGATGAAGTGAGCTCCCTTTATTTGCCCCAGCTCCTGCCAACCTGGCAGTCCGAAAACAGGTAAATGCAAGTAGATAAATAGATACCACTTCAGTGGGAAGGTAACAGTGTTCTGTGTGCCTTTGGCATATAGTCATGCCAACTACAAGACCATGGCAGAGATAATGCTGGCTTTTTGGCCATGAATCGGAGATCAGCACCATCCTCTAGAGTCAGACACAACTGGCAGGGGAAACCTTTACTTTTTTATCCACAGAAAGGGAGGCACTGAATTATAAACTGACCTCTGAATTCTGTTAATGAAAAGAACCAACCTTGAATTCTTTGGTGTCCTTTAAATTCAGCAACCGCAAGATCATTCATCTGCAGTTAAAATGCTGGCTTAGAAAGTCTGGGGCTGAAATATGGAGGACACCAAAGATAGAGAGCTGAAATTCTGCATGCAACATTTCTATGATCTATGATGATCAATATGCAAAAATAATGTTTAAAAAAAGTCACTTTTGTGCAATTGCACTTTTCTGCAAAACTGATCATCCACTAACCTCTGCTGATAATCAGATATAGGTAGTTAGCCTTTACCAAAGTAATATTTTCCATTTTTCTCTCCTCCTTCATGTCCAATATTAAGACACGATTCACTAAAGAGAATAAGGCCACAAATTAAATTAATTTCTAAACTGCATTCCCAATAGGAAATCAGACATTCAAGGCTTTTCTACACTTATTACTGTCTGCCTCATGTGGACTTTCTTGTGGGCAGTAAGGGAGGAATAATGTGTGAAGCACCGTCCACACTCTGGACATCTGAAAGGTTTCTCCCCTGTATGTAACCCTAAATGATTTATAAGTTTAGATCTAGTACTGAAACCTTTCCCACACTCTGGACACTCATACGGTTTTTCTCCTGTGTGAGTCCTATGGTGTACTACCAGATGGGAATTCTGACTGAAGCCTTTCCCACAATCCGGACACTCATATGGTTTCTCTCCCGTGTGAGTCCTCTGGTGTATCACCAGCTCAGAATTCCGACTGAAAGTTTTCCTGCATTCCAAACACTCAAACGGTTTCTCTCCTGTGTGAGTCCTCTGGTGTATCGCCAGGTGGGAACTACGGTTGAATTTTTTCCCACAATCCAGACACTCATAAGGTTTCTCTCCAGTGTGAGTTCTCCGGTGTATCACCAGGCCAGAATTCCGACTGAAACTTTTTCCACAATCCAGACACTCATATGGTTTCTCTCCTGTGTGACTCCTCTGGTGTAGCACAAGGTGGGAATTCCGACTGAAACTTTTCCCACAA